CTGTATACTGCTTAAAATGATATTCTATTAATTTTACGTATTTATTTTTGTACATTATGGATAATAGAAATTTGATAAAAAAAAAAAGTTTAAACGGTTTTTTGGGGGGAAGTGGGGGGTGGGGTGATAATGAAGGCACAGTAGAATGTGGCTGCAGTAGAAACAGTTTTATGAAAAAATCCTAATAAAATGAGCCAACTTTGAGACACAAGACTACGTATCACACCATGCATGCTTGATGTCACGTTATCATTATATACAAATTGATGTGATTTTTTTTTTCAAATTAACTTAAGAATAATTATCGTAGCATGATTTTAGTTGTGATTTTATTGGCTGCATGGTTCATGTATTTTCTGTAAGAAACGAGGTATTTCTGAGATCGTCCCCCTGTAAATTTGGACTCGATCGCATTGGTTTCTTTTTTCCTTTACATGGGGATTACGTAAAATCAAACGAAGTGTGTTAACCAACTTGCATGCTTTGAGGATACAGGCTTTATCAAACGTAAAATCAGCATACGTGTAGATCTATATTTTGTAAATTGAAAGTTCAGTTGTTCATAGAGACGAATTTGTCGTTATGAAAGACAGAAAAGTAGAAATCAAAATTCTTTTTTTCGGGGGGGGGGGGGGGGGGGGTATTCGGTTTTTTAAAGGATCTAAAATACAGTTAACACAGTTTTGGGGATTGTAGATTATGATCAACTATTTTTTGTCATTAATCAAGCATTTTGTTTAACTTAGACAGGGTGACAACTTAAATTGCTAAGCGATAACAAGTGCCCCAACTGAACATCTGAAAATTAACCATGACGTCACAATTGAATCGTGAAAAAACTACCATATGCTCAGAGTTAATTTTGCAGACATACCAATTTCAAAATGTAATAACTTTGTTATAAATGCAGATATTTTTATTCTGTTTTCAGTTTTTGTCGTGATTTTACATGGACAACTAAAATACAGATAAATTTTGCCATAAGGTCGATTTCTATCCGACGAGGCTCATATATTTATGCAAAGTAACTGAATCAAAAACAGATAGCCACCCTAATGTTACAAATAATTACTTAAATGTAGCATAAGGAGCAGCATCAAGTATAATATTCTAGTTTTTGGTGCTTATGGATTTTCTGCATGAAACTACCTAGTGCATTACCCCAGATATTTAGACAATAATTAACAGAGGGCAGGATAAAGGCATTGTAAATAGTTTTTTAGTTTTCAAAAGAAGATTTTTTTATATTCATCAAAGCAAATAACTTATTTGTGCGCTCCGTTATTAGCAGAACTATTTTTGTATTTATATGAAACAAATTTGTGCAAAATCATGCATGAAAAGGAGAAAACACTTGCTATGGCCTTCAACTCGACATTTAGATATATCGATATTGTCAATTAACAATGGCAATTTCCATTCTTATATCGATACGATATATTCTGAAGAGCTTGAGATAAAAGATACCACAGAGTCTGACACATCTGTTTCATACTTGGATATTTTACTTGAAAAAAACACTTGTATTCGGTAATCTAACAACCAAGCTTTAACTTTTTTTATCGTTACCTTCCCTTACTTATGCAGCAATACACCTTCATCACCTGCATACCGAGTTTATATATCTCAGTTCAGTTTGCAGTTATGCAAAATCATGCTCTATGTACGAACAATTTCTAAAACGAGGTAAATTATTTACAAGAAAGTTGATGAAACAAGAATATCAGCAGTCTCGTTTAAGTTTAAAATCATGATTTTGTAAGATCTATGGTCGAAACAATGACCTTGTGAGCAAATACAATTTATCATTGAGTCAATTGCTGACTGACTTTTCAATGCTGATTGTTGGTTCATTCTTTATACACTGGATTGACGATGGACTATTCCCTTGTTTCCCGATCATGGCAAAGAGCACTCGATTCGCAGTGGATGCTCACTCCTCCATGGCACCTGATCCCACCTCTGATGATTTGGAGGCCCGTGCTTGCTCTATTTTCCTATTTTGTATTGTTTTATGGACTTAGATATTGAATACTGTTCGTTTTTATCTCCATATGTTTCATTTGTACATGTAGCTCAAGATAATAATTGATAAACTCTTAATCTCTTGTTAAAATATCTTTTGAATGTTCAAAATTTACTAAAAGCTCCATTTTTAAAATAAACTTATTATTACGTGAGTCATGTTAGTTAATTTTTTTTTATTATAACTTATATAAGGTCTCCATATACCACATCTATTTTCTGGTCAACCGACGGTTCTGTTTCCAAAAAAAAACAAATTAAGGAAAAATAAATAAAATCATACAGGTGCATTAAAGAGCTTGCTAGAAAATAAGGAAAAAACATTTTGAAATTGAACACTGCTACAGTCACTGAAAGCACTAGGGGGAATTGACATCATTTTAGTTCCTGTTGAGTACCTTTTTGTAGTGTTAATCAACTTTTGCGATAATGGAATTTTAATAAAAGATAAAATCACAACGAAAAAAATATAAATGATGTTTATTCTTTTTCATACTTGAATATTTTACCAATAGTAGACCTTTAAAGCAAAGTAACAACTGAAGATGGTCATGATAGCTTTAACTTTTCTTTCGTCAACCTCTCTTATTTGTTTAATAAAAAAAATCCCCAAATAATACGTTAAAATCAAAGTCTCTGCTCACTGTCGACACAAAATCTTTGTTTGGAAATTCAACATGTCAGTTTGGTTGAACACTGCCTACGTTTTCATTACAAAACAAGGTGTTTGTGAAACATGCAATATAGCAATATAGCAAAGATTAAACTTTTCTTTAACATGTTAAATGCAAAGTTAATGTATTGGTTCCAAGAGTACTAGGGTTTTCTCATTGGAATTACAGTTATGAAATATGAAAGTAGGTCAAGGTTAAAAAAATTTCATCAGTACAAAAATCTTCAAGGTCAAGGTCATTGGTATCCAATAAAAGGTCTTGCCACAAAAACTACATATGTAAAGTATGGAAGCTCTAGCCCTAACAGTTCAGAAATTATGGCTTATGTTAAAATTTTAAAAAGTAGGTCAAACTCCAAGGTCATGGTCAAAGGTCTAGCTATCAAATGAAAGGTCTTGTCACAAGGATCGAATATGTGAAGTATGAAAGCCTTAGCCTTAACTCTTTAAAAGTTATGGTCATGATTGGTTTCAAAAAGTAGGTCAAACTCGAAGGTCATGATCAAAGGGTAAAAGTTCTTGATATCCAATAAAGGATCGATCTTTTCACAAGAATTACATATTATGTGAAGTATGAAAATTATATCCCTTACCGTTAAAATGTTATTGCCAAGGTTCAAGTTTTTTCACAAGTACGGAAAACTCCAAGGTCAAACGGTCAAGGTTGTTGGTATCCAATGATGGGTCTTTTAACAAAGAATAATATGTGAAGTATAAATGTACTGGTTCATACTGTTCAAAAGACATGGCCAAAGTAAAAGTTTGGAATTTTTGTGTAAAAGTGGGCCAAAGTCAAGGTCAAAATGTCAAATATAGTGGTACCCTAAGAAGGGTCTTGTCACAAGGAATACACATGTGAAATATGAAAGTCATGGCACCACGAAATCAAAAGTTATGGGCAAGGTTAAAGTTTTTGCGAACAAACAGCTAAACAGACAGACAGAGAGACAGACAGTTAGAAAGACGGACGGACATGACAAAAAATATTTACCCAGAAACTTCTTTACGAGGGCATAACAATTACTAGTATTAGGTCATTATTTTACAGCAACTGATCTACGGATCATTTTGACAACGGGTAACAGCAGGTATTACTGATAGACATGAGACGCTAACATTTCCAAAACACCTGATTCCACAACTATAATGTTTAAGGGACTGCATTTACTTAATGTAATGCTAAGTTGGAATTTTGAGCATGGTCACAATGTGGTACCTCAATTCGAATCTCTCCTCAAGAATTTAAAAAGAGATGGAAAATCAGAGAATCCCAAAGTTCTTATAATTTGAATCTGTATTTATACTCCGCATTGAATATGGCACACTTTGTTACGAGTGAATAATTTGAACAGAAATTTCATCACAATATTATCTATTTTTTGTCAGTGAACTTTGCATATAAGTTTTTTTTACAATCATGCTGAAAAGAAATTATGATGTGATAAAATAAACATTTTTAAGGACACAAAAATGGAAGACTAGGAATTCTAGAAGTATTTTGTAAAAATAATGATAAATACTCTTGTCCATATCCCATTCTGTATCATCCCGAGACATCAATAACAGCCAGAAGACCGAAGGTCAGAGGGTTGATATTGGTCGAGGGCTAATACAGGATGTAACATGAAAAACGGTGATTTGGTTTTTTCTTTATTTTATAACATACTTATAGTTATACTCATAGTAATAATAATAAAATACAGTATACATAAACTTTAGGGGGAAAAAAATTACTGTTTTCTTAAGGAATTTATTAAGGATATGGAAATAACGAACAGTATTCAATCTCAACGTCCATTAAACAAATATACAAAATAAGAGCAGAGCAAACACGGACCTCCGAAACATCAGAGGTGGGATCAGGTGCCATGGAGGAGTGAGCAGGATGTGATATTGTCCCGCCCAACTATACCCGACCTCCAGGGCTGATAAGGCTATCACGACGTATTGCATTCCTGCATTTATTTATATGTAATAAACATATTTATTACCACTTTAGAATGCAATTAATATTTTGAACTAGGTAAATTTGTTTCAGAATTGTTTTCCGTTCAGTGAGTGTATACAATCAATTCTCTATTCCTTACTGTTTACATATAAACAGATGTATGAAAATTTCACACATTTCTATAGCTATGAGGACTGTAAAAGCTTGTAATAGGTAATATGATTTGATTTTAAACCAAAAGGATTTTAAAGGGTTTTTTTTACTATGCAATATTTATCTTTTGTTGAAAAATTGATATATATATATATATATATATATATTTTTTTTTTTTTTTTTTTTTTTGAAGAGAGGGAACTGAGTGCTGCTATAACGAGTATCTAAACAACAAGACTAAAGAATGTTCTGGTACGTATAATTTTTTTTTATTTTCTTTTAAGCTGGAAAATAGAAAAAAAATAAAATATCAATAACTTTATTGATTTAAATATCTATTCTCAAAATGTATGTTTGTTTTAAACTAGTACTAGTAATTCAAAGGAATGGATTACAAGTTAAAAAAATTGAAGAATAATTTCTCTGTAATAAATAAAATAATTTTTGGCTTACCAATAAATAAAATTTGTAATGGTAATATATAAATCATAAATACGAAATAATTCAAAGACACATTGAAATTGTAGAGTTAACTAATCTATTATGATTAGTATAAAACATATATACACTTGCAACATTGATTGCCGATCTGTTATAATTGACATCATACTAAATGAGTCTTTCTAGTAAGGGAGCTTCAAATACTGGATCGTTTTGGGGAAAAAAGTTTGAAAGCTTCATTTCAGGTATACATTTGGGAATTGTGAAAAAAATGTATATTTTACAGTTAGTTTTCTATATATTAAAAAGTGACGTTACTCGTGTTTATAAAGTGTATCTGTGTAAACTTTAACTAAACTTACTGATTATGCAAATGAGTTTTTGATACAATTTTCTTTAGAAAATTAATTTATTTGACATGTTTGTAAAATGATATATATATATTATTTCGAAATAATATCAACAACAACACAATATAAAAGAACTTGAAATTTATTAGATAAAGTATTTACACAGTTTTGCAAATAATTGGAGGTGAAAGATAACTTTGATCTTAACCATTCTTTTTTAACCAGAATGTCCAGCTGGATCTATTGGTTCAAACTGTAAGTTGACATGTCCGCCTGGATATTACGGACGGTTGTGTCTGTCTGTCTGTGAGTGTCCTGACGCCGACTGTAATCATGTTGCTGGATGTACTACTACAGGTAACACAGTTATTCAGACAAATAACGATTTTGAAAACTTTGAGATGAAGAAAAGAAAATTAAACAAAATTTCAACTCTTTTTTTAAAAAAAATATAAGACATATTTATAAACTTATCAGAGTTAAATTCTTTTAGAAAGTGTTTGTCGCAATATCTCAAATGTTTGTTGGTCACCCTTCAAGTGTCCAGCCTTTAACTGTCCAGCCTTTTTTAAATGAAAAAAATATTTTATGGAATAAATTAATATTATACCGTAAATCTGGATATTTTTGCTGTAGATAAATTTTTAGCAAATTTGCCAGTTCATTGCATTCGCAAAAATGTTTTTCTTAAAAATAATACAACAACAAGAAAATGTAAACAAAGTAGTGGTCATTCGCAAAATTTTGAAACACAGAAATTAATCAATAGCATTTTGACCCAGATTCGCAAAATAAAATCGATGTAAAAATTTCTAGATCTACGGTATTCATTTCATAATTTTGCTTTAATTTTTCTCATTCAGAAAACAGCAGCGATTGGTCTAGGATTACACCAGACGTGAAGCATCAAACAGCTGTTTCTGAGAATACGAATAACCATTCACATCTGCAAAACAAGATTTTTGCCATTAAGACAACAGTTACAGCTTCTAAATGGATGAATAAAACCACAGTTCTGCAAACCAAGTTGACTTCCAGTCTGTATCCAGCACGACGCCAGGATCTATATGTTAACTATGACACACATACCTGGATCGCTGTAAGCTGCTCACTAATTGGATCTCTCGTAACACTCATTCTAATTGGATGTCTACTTTACTTCCGATCTCGGTAAGCCAGAAGCTCAAATCTTGAATTATGCAATTGTAATCACTAGTTATACGTTTTAAAAAGTGAATTAATTGTCTTCTCTTGTCGAAGGTTGAAGAGATGCAATAAATATTTGCAAAGTCGTTTAAGACATATGATAGAAAGATTAGATACAGTGATGGTTTAAAATGTAAAAGCATATGTGTGATTAATTAATTGTTAAAACATTAAGGACCTCATCCCATGTCTGATGTCGTGGAGGTCCGTGTTTGCTCCGCTCTTATTTTGCATTGTTTTATGGACTTTTGATCCTGAATACTGTTCGTTATCTCCATATATTTTATTTGCCTATTTTTATAATGCTTACAAATCTTTTTGTAAACAGTCTTAGTAATCTCTGTCCTAATCTTATTCATTTTACTGTATTAACATTACCTACACAATAATGTTCATGATTTTTGTGAAAAAGAACCTCTGTTTTGTATCCTTATCGTAATATTTCTATCTTCATAAAAGCAGATTTTATTTTCTTTTATTGTTTTAGCTCGAAACTCAGGATGAAACATCCTAAAAGAATTAGAAGGATTTTGACTTCAAGCACAGGGGCAGGTATGTCATTATTTTAAATAATGGTCCTAGTTTGGATATGGTTTATTTCTAAATTTGATTTCTTGTTTGCTAAAACATTCAAAATCTTGAAAAATTATGTCTTTTTAATGCAGTGTTAAGTTTCACTCATCGTCGGAAACCCATGGCTGATTACACTTCGTTATGGAGAGAGGATCGAGGCGTAATCAGTCGTGGGTTTCCGACGATGAGTTTTACTTAACGAAAAAAAATTGACTTTATACAAGGGCTTTAACATATATAGAAACAAAATATGGAGATAACGGACAGTATTTAAGCTCGAAGTCCATTACACAAATTTGAATACAAACTGAAAACAGAGAAAACACGAATATTCAAACATAAGAGAAGGGATCAAGAGCCATGGTGGAGTAAGCATCCTCTGCCAATGCCCGCCTGGTCCTCTTTTTCATCATTGGGAAAAAAAACAGATCTCCTAGACAACCCGGTGAGCAAACATTGGTCCATTAATTAGGTATGGAAAACAAGGTCAATTTTCGAACATGCTCTACTTGCAGTGGTCAATATATTGACAAGCTTTTAGCCACTTGAAAATTATGCCGTGGTTTGAGACGATGCTGGGTTGTTTACTTTATTATTATTTTTTCTTATAATAGGTAAATAAATTATGTAAAGTTTCAGTATTGCACCAAAGCAAAATATCTTTAATTTTCTTTAAGTCTTATTTGTAAGTAGCTTAAAGCTTTATATGATATTTTTTCTTTATGGCACATAAACAGTACTAGCACAATCTGAATTCTAAATCAGTTGAATAAAATCTCCTCGGCAAAAAAATCTGAGATTTGTTTTCCTATAACCTTATTATATTTTTTACAAACTTCTGAATTTCTCCAGATGCATATATTAGTTTGATCCTTCAGAGTTGTCTTTGTTTATCTCAAGTAATTTTCGAACAACATATATAATCCTATCTAGCACTGTTTTCACTGAATTTGATGAAAGCCTTAATGAAAATCAATCTTTACTCCTTAAATCCGTTTAACCATTCCCATCTGACTTTTCAAGCTTTTTATGTAAATTTGTATATATTGTGCCTATTTAGATGTGTTTTTCCTGTTATTCCTATGAGTTATTCTGAATATTAGCCAGTGCGTTAATGTTTTCTTCAAGACAAGAAAGGCAAAGTCAACTTTATATTTATTTAAGTTTTATGTAGGTTTCATATTCAAGTGGATGCATGGTCGGTGTACAAGACCACAAGTGTATGTATCTTTTACAGGTAGAAACTTGGATCTGCCAGAAGGACACTTTGACCTTTCTGTACTCACTCCAGAACGTCAATACCGAGATGATGACATCTATTCTGAGATAAGGTTTTCTCAAATTGACGGTGCATGTGCAGCATCATGCATGGACACAATTTCCAAGAATGAAAAATGTTGTAAAATCTCTAAAGAACCAGATCGTTGGAGAAATACAAATTTGTACGGAAAATGTTTATTTAAAACCGAGTATGATCAAATCAATCTGAAAATGTCTTCGATTGTCTCACCGTTGTTACATAAGGAGCGAAAGGTTGTTTGTGGCAAAGATCAAGAATTTGATGTTCTATCATCGCGAAAAAAATTTGTAGATGAAAGTTGTTCATCTCTGACATTATCTCCAAGGTTGGAGAGATTTCGAACAAAAGAGAACAACCAATTTAAGCCACACTCATCTAGTTTACACCACACTCTATCTGAAAACGAACTTTTTAATAAGCAAGAAAGAAAGGACGAAGAGGAGAACTATGCAGAATTAAATCAAGCCAAATATATGACTATATCTGGTCCCAACGTAAAGGAAGAAGGAGATCGACCGTACAGTGTCGTTCATTTATCGTCATATAAGGATTTGAATTCAAAAGAAAGTGTGAAGCCCCGCATAGGATTCCATAGCAATGCTAATCCAGAAGAAAACGTTTTAAATCCAGAATTAAATCAAGCCGAACATATGGCTGCATCTGACATGTCTGATCCCAACGTAAAAGAAGAAGATCGACCTTACAGTGTTGTTCATTTGTCATAATATGATAATGTGAATTCTAAGAAAGAGTAAAACTGAGAAAAATATTTTCCAGTGATGCTTATCGAGAAGAAAAGGGATTATCAAAACCAGAGTTCCTAGAACATTTGAATAGCAGACCTATATATATATATATATATATATATATATATATATATATATATATATATATATATATATATATATATATTATTCTATAGTAACGTACATTCAACAACTTGGCCGAATGATGAACTTCGGTACAATATGTATATATAAATCTAGTAGTATCTTTATTGGCTTATACATTACATATATTGCCACATATAACATTTCTTTATAAACAATGGTTAACAGGTGTTACACAGATGCTATTACATAATTTAATACAAATATGTAGGAAAAAAATGAAAAAAACAAAAAGAAGTACAAAGAACTGTGCAGGTGTCTTTTTTTGTATTACACATGTTTTAATATTACTGTATGGAAAAGTTTTCCCTCTTTTTTAAACATTCAAACACAAATTTCCCCAGTTTTTAAGTATATTTTCTGAATCTGAATTAAGTAATTCAATAAATTTTGCCATACTAGGTTTTATATAATAATATTTTTTAATATATTTTTCTCTTAACTCGGTATAGAAGTTACATTTTAGAACAAAATGATATTCATCTTCTATTTCGTTTGATGTACAAAATTTACATTTTCGTTTACTTGTGGGACATTTGTTATCATATCTACCAGATTCAATGCATAGAGAGTGAGAAGATAATCTAAGTCTAGTTAATGCCTTTCTGTGCTTTTCATAATATATATAATTAAGATAGTCAGCCTGTTGTAAAGTCGGGTTTAAATATTTAATCAATTTAAGAGGATGGGCATTTTCTTTATCTACTCTCAGTTTTTGATAAAAACAATCAGTTTGTCTTTGTTCAAAATACATATAAAAAGACCTTTTCATTTACTGACTCGGGGAAATACCACACATCTCCAAAACCATGAGACAAAAGGGTCTGCTTTACAAAAATAATCCAATTTGAAACCATATTCTTAGAATAATAATTATAAATTGACTTTATTAGACAGTTTTCTGATCTGAGAATCTTAAACCAATATTTGATAATGCGAAATGTTCTCGTTACTATTAACGGTTTTCTTCCTAATTCACCATAAACAGCCGGGGTACATGTCGAAATTTTAACTCCAAGTAGTCTTTTACCAAATTTTAAATGTATTCTTTCGAATTATTTTGCTGGTATAAAGCCCCACACTTCTGCCCCATAATTCATTTTTGAAACACATGCAACATTGAAAAGTTCGCACACTTTTTTACAGTCTAGAGACAATTTTTGAACATTACTCATACATGCATTATATAATTGTAGTGTTTTTTCTGCTGTTATTCTTACATGTTTATTAAAAAGTCCATTTGAAGAATACACCAACCCAAGATATGCAAAACTATCTACAATTTCAAGGGCGTTGTCATTATATGTGAATTTATATCCCCTTTTTGACCGACCTTTTTGAAAAATCATTACTTTCGTTTTATCTACATTTACACTAAGGCCCTACTTTTGACAGTATGTGTGTAGGATGTTAAGGTGGTGTTGTAACCCATTGGGCGTTTCGCTTATTATGTCTAGATCATCTGCAAAT